GGTCTTCTGTTATCATCAAATTCCAAGGGAGACTACATTGTGTTAGAGATTATTCGCGGAAACGTACGTATTCCCAATAGCGCATGCTCAATGCTCATTTATCAGAACAGTGTTAGGTCATGAAAATAGTAGGGATCGTTCAGCATCGTTAGTTCATTTGAATCGTCTTCCCCCCACTTCTTATCATTCAGACCAGCAAACTGAAAGAGTTCTTTATTATTTGTTGCGAAAGGTGATCTTCCGGGCAGAAAATGGCGGGGGGCAGCTGGTGGTGGAGAATACTGCCGAGGATCCTCTTCGACTTTGTGACGGACAGTGGCACAAGATTAAGGCCTGGAAAGAAGGGAATTTGGTGAAACTTCAAGTTGACGAAGGAACAATACTGGAAGGTGAAAGAAAAGGATCTCAAACCAACGCAAATATCTACGACCCTCTGTATGTCGGAGGTCTCCCAGGTAGGTACATGGTGCATGCGTAGTTAGCCTCTTGTCTGTGATTCAGTTTCCTCGTTGATGACTATGTGTGGTGTTCAGTGATTTTGTCTCCTCGCCATGAAGGAATCAATCTTAGAAAAACCGTGTCTTCATACTCCTGCATTTTACATGACCTCGAAGATGGAGTAATCGTGAAGGAAACGTGCTGAAACGTCTGTTTTCAAACATTGCTACGACGGTTTATGTTCCTTTATCAACTCCTTATCGATAATCAACACAGTATCTTAAGAAATAGACACTAATGAATAACTTACCCCAGTCGCATGGCTTAAAATGTAAGAGGTCAATCTCAGCAAAGCTTACATAACTCTTTGTTCCCCTTGGTCAGCGTTTCTATTTACCCTCCAAAGAATAAGTTAAAATATATTTTATATATTTTATAATTCGTAACAGCGCTCTCTTGTATTTCTTCAAATCAACATTCGTGATCCTGTTATTATACGATTTGCCTGCCGATGAAGCGCAAGTAAAAGTTAACAACCTTTTTTGTTTGTTCAAGTGATGTGGTGTCTCTTAATTCCTCTCTGACCCAATATATTGAATGTTTCGTCCTGCAGCGGGTGTAGAGGCTAAAGGTGTGACGGCTACCGAGAGGTACACGGGTTGCATACGTAACTTGGAGTCTAAAGATAGAAATGCAGCGAAGTCTCTGAAGCTTGCCAATCCTGTGGAATTAGGTGGAAATGTTTACCTTGGAGGCTGTCCTTACAACTAATGAACTATTTCCTTTACTATCTCCCATTTGTCTATTCAATTAGTTTGTGGTTTAAAGGCAAAAGGCTCAAAGGTTTTGTTAATGTTTTAAACCCAATTTTTTAGAATTTTTTCACTTTCCTATCACGAAGTAGTTTAAAAAACTATGCCAGTCTAGCGAGATGTGTTTCTTAGATACTGGCGTAAAAAGATTAAGAATTCATTTGAATTCCTAACACAGCATTTTATCTTGATAACATGTTACTTTCATGTTGGGAATAAAAATCTTACTTCAGTTTTGCAGTGTTTTCCTTTCTGCGACGATAATACCATATGGCAATAAACATTTGAAGTTGCTATTCCTCCTCTGTTGTCCACCAGTACACATATAGTTCTTCCACCCTGAGGACACATGCTCCCCACGAGCATCGATAAACTATTTCCTTGCAATATTAAAAGGGGAATTTTTGGACCCACAAAAGAGCTGCGACTTAATAACTTACTCACAGTAGACATCTACCACAAGCTAATTCAATTTTTGAAACTCATTGACAAAATTGTATTGTTTCAATATTCAGACGAGATTTTCTCAGCCCACACAAGAGCTGTAACTGACATTTGCACATAGAACAGAGCTAACCACGCTCTTGCTAACGCGCTATAACTGGTCGCAGAATCCCCCCTTTTCGCGGAGTTATAAACGAATGAATATTACACCAAGTGTTCAAGCTCATTAACGAAATTCTATTGTTTCAATATTCAGGGGAGATTTTCTTTGCCCACACAAGAGCTGTAACCTTGATACTTGCTCACAAAACAAAACTGACCACGCTCTTACTAACGCGCTAAAGCTTGTCCCAGAATTCCCCATTTTTTTAAAAGAGATATAGACACATGAATATTGAACCAATAGAAATTCGTCAATGAGCCTTTGACAAACGGAGTTTTCAATTTCATCAACGAAATTCTGTTTTTTCAATATTCAAAGGGGAATTTCTTGGCTCACACAAAAGCTGTAACTTTGACACTTCCACACATAACAGAGATAATCACGCTCTTTCCAACGCATATGAAATTGTCCCAGAATTAATTATTTTTTACGGAGATATAGACGCATGAATATTGAAACAATAGAAATTCGTTAATTAGCCTCTGACAACTAGTTGGAACCACGAGCAAAACGGAGTTTTCAAGCTTATTAACCAAATTCTATTGTTTCAATATTCAGACGGGATTTTCTCGGACCACACAAGAGCTGTAAATTTGACACTTGCACACATAAAAGAGCTAATTACGCTCTTTCTAACGCTTTTTAAATTGTCCCGGTATTCCACATTTTTACAGAGAAATAAACGCATGAATATTGAAACAATAGAAATTCGTTAATGAGCCTTTGGTAAGTTGGTGGAACCACAAGCAAAATCGAGTGTTCAAACTCATTAACGAAATTCTATTGTTTCAATATTCCGACGGAATTTTCTCAGCCCACACAAGAGCTGTAACTTTGACACTTGAACACATAATGTAACTAATCGCGCTCTTTTCAACATGCTTCAAATCGTCGCAGAATTCCCCATTTTTACAGAGATATAAAGGCATGAATATTGAAACAAAAGAAATTCGTTAATGAGCCTCTGGCAACTTGTTGGAACCACGACTAAAACGGAGTTTTCAAGCTCATTAACAAAATTCTATTGTTTCAATTTTCAGAGAGGTATTTCTTGGCTCACATATAAGCTGTAACTTTGATACTTCCACACATAACAGAGATAATCACGCTCTTTCTAAAGCATATGAAATTATCCCAGAATTAATTATTTTTACGGAGATACAGACGCATGAATATTGAAACAATAGAAATTTGTTAATGAGCCTTTGGCAACTTGTTGGAACTACGAGCAAAACGGAGTTTTCAAGCTCATTAACCAAATTCATTGTTTTAATATTCAGAGGAGATTTTCTCGGCCCACACAAAAGCTGTAACTTTGATACTTGCACACATAACAGAGCTAATCACGCTCTTCCTAACACGCTATAAATTATCGCAGAATTCCCCCTTTTCGCGTGAATGTGTAAACGCGTGAATGTTAAGACAACAGAAATTCGTTAATGAGCGTAAGTTGTTGGAACCACGAGCAAAACCGTGTGTTCACGCTCATTAATGAAATTCTATTGTTTCAATATTCAGAGGGGAATTTCTTGGCTCACACAAAAGCTGTAACTTTGATACTTGCACACATAACAGAGCTAATCACGCTCCTTCTAACACGCTATAAATTTTCCTAGAACTCCTCATTTTTACAGAGATATTAAAGCACGAATATTGAAACAATAGAAATTCGTTAATGAGCCTTTGGTAAGTTGTTGGAACCATGAGCAAAATGAGCTCATTAACAAAATTCTATAGTTTCGATATTCAGAAGGGAATTTCTTGGCTCACAGAAGGGCTGTAACTTTGACACTTCCACACATAAAAGAGATTATCACGCTCTTTCTAACGCATATGAAATTGTCCCAGAATTAATTATTTTTACGGAGATACAGACGCATGAATATTGAAACAATAGAAATTCGTTAATGAGCCTTTTGCAACTTGTTGGAACCACGAGCAAAACGGAGTTTTCAAGCTTATTAACAAAATTCATTGTTTTAATATTCAGAGGGGATTTTCTCGGCCCACACATAAGCTGTAACTTTGATACTTGCACACATAACAGAGCTAATCACGCTTCTTCTAACACGCTATAAATTTTCCTAGAACTCCCCATTTTTACAGAGATATTAAAGCACGAATATTGAAACAATAGAAATTCGTTGATGAGCCTTTGGTAAGTTGTTGGAACCACGAGCAAAATCGAGTGTTCAAGCTCATTAACGAAATTTTATTGTTTCGATATTCAGAGGGGAATTTCTTGGCTCACACAAGGGCTATAACTTTGACACTTCCACACATAACAGAGATTATCACGCTCTTTCTAACGCATATGAAATTGTCCCAGAATTAATTATATTTACGGAGATATAGACGCATGAATATTGAAACAATAGAAATTCGTTAATGAGCCTTTGGCAACTTGTTGGAACTACGAGCAAAACGGAGTTTTCAAGCTCATTAACAAAATTCTATTGTTTCAATATTCAGACGGAATTTTCTCTGGTCACACGAGAGCTGTAACTTTGACACTTGCACACATAACAGAGATAATCACGTTCTTCCTAACACGCTATAAATTATTGCAGAATTCCCCCTTTTCGCGGAGTAATAAACGCGTAAATATTATAACAATAGAAATTCGTTAATGAGCCTTTGATAAGTTGTTGGAACCACGAGCAAAATCGAGTGTTCAAGCTCATTAACGAAATTCTATGGTTTCAATATTCAGAGGGGATTTTCTCGGCCCACAAAAGAGCTGTAACTTGCATGCACGCATAACAAAGGAAATGACGCTCTAACGTATATTAAATTGTCCCAGAATTCCCCCTTTCCATTTAGATCTAAACGCATGAATATTGAAATAAAAGAAATTCGTTGATGAGCTTTTGGTAACTTGTTGGAACCACGAGCCAAACGGAGTTTCAAGCTCATTAACAAAATTCTATTGTTTCAATATTCAGAGGGGATATTTTCTGCCCACAAAAGAGCTGTAAATTTGACTCTTGCACACATAACAGAACTAATCACGCTCTTACTAACGCGCTGAGAACAAAGATATATGTGGCAAACATTTCTCTGTTAAATACAAAATGTTCATTGTTGTATTATAGTTTTGTCAAAAATAACTAGCTGAGTAAAGAAAAGTAAAACACCAGAAGTCTAATTTCAACTTCGTTTTATTTCAAATTCCTCTGTTCGGATCGGGAACAATAAGAAATAACAACTGCTTTATCAAGAGAATATAAAGGTTGCACTAAAATTGTGTTTGGTATCCCTATGATTCTGATGTGGTTTGTTCTTTGAATGTCATAAATCCTTTAATTTCATTATTACAAGGTCATGTTTTGTGCCCACAAGTCTTTTCTCCAACATTTGTATGACAAATATCATGAACCCAGGTAGTGATATTGCCAGGGAGACACACAAGGACACCAAGTACACATGAAGAAATAAGTATCGACTTGGGAGAGGAAGAATGGAATATGCGATGGAGCCATCATTACCTGAAACAACAAAATAAAAATTTTCTATAGACATAAAATAGAAGGACATCCTCTTGTAACAAACACAAATTAAATGCATGGTTTGTGGGGAAAAAAGTTATTAGCCCTTTAATCCCTAAGAGTGACTAGTGCAGAAATCCTTTCAGCGTTACCCCTGAATCATACATTAAGATCAAGAAAAAAGAAGCTCTTGATTGTTAAACAATTTCTCCTTGTCAGCACCTCAGGAAATGTATAAAGAACAAGGGATGGTCTCAGATGGATAAAATGACAACCTGCATTCAAAGAAACATGTCACAGTTTAAGGAAGCTCAGCAATGCTGTCCCCTCATTTTCAGTCTGTGTCAATCTTTTTCACCCTTAAACATTCTCTGCCTCTTTGGTTTGCTCTGATATAATTCAAGTATTTTCTGTTTCTTTTTGTCAAACTGCACACTTTGGTTTCCCCTACATTCCAAGCAACTCAAATAATTATGTCATAGCCTGATGACCTTGAAGTAAAGCAAAAAGTTATTTTAAAATACCTATCAGACCTACAGACTTACAAAATTATATTAGCAAACAATCATACTGCACCTGTAAATTTCAGAAATTAAGAAATAATCTTCAGCCATAAGATTCACCTCAAAAACATACAGGGTATATTGGCTGAAATACTATTGATACAACTTAAAATCATGCCTTCCTCATACCAAGGAATATAGCAGTGATCAGCCAAATCAATTTTTTTACTCTTGTTCTTTATCAAAAGTTTGAAGCCAACACCTCTGAGTAAGGCTCACATCTCTGTGCACATTTTTATCAAGCCCAAAGTCACTATAGCGACAGAGGTTTGTTGGTGCTGACACCATACCTACAACTGCCACGGCTGCCCCCATCATTTTCGTTCCCATGCGATAGCTGCAGGTAGGCACCACATATTCTGTAAAGGTAAATATTCCGAACTCATGTTGAACAGTGGCTGGCTAAAAAGCAACATAAATGGTGAGATTAGTTCTAGGTCAAATGACTGCTTAATGAGGAGGGGGAGGGAGGGGGGACTGAAAATATGACAGAATAAAAGTCTCTTGATGCACATAGTCCTCACCCTAATATAAGTCTCTAAAAGGAACAAAATTTATGCCAAGATGCCAAAGATTTCACTTTCAAATCAACAACAATTTCAGATGTTTATAAATTAACCCAAAGTTCCTCTGGAATAAACAATTAAACTCATCATGATTACTGCTTAGTCAATAACCTCTGTTTTAAGTCTCTTTTAATGTGAGAATAAATCTTTAACGATTGAGAACAAGCTGCCAAATTCATAAATATTAAAATTTTTAAGTCTTCAAGCAAAATGAGGTGTCACATTCACTTGGTATTAAAAAAAAATGAAGAGGCAAAAAATAGAACTTACCTCATGAAGATGACCTGAGAACGCATAAGTTGGTTTCATAGTTCGAATTAACTTAAAGTAAAAAAACAAAGGAAAATAGTATAGCTGTTATAAACTACTATTATTATCATTATAATAGAGACAAAAATTATCTTAATCGACCAGTCTCTTATGAGAACTCTCCACCATCAATGTACAAACAAACAATCTTGTGTTTAAAACATTAAAATTTTGACAATCAATTACCATGACTTTCTAGCGATTCCCAAACAATTTCAATTCATGAAGGAATTTACAACATTATTGGTCAAAACTAGTGTAGGCAAAACAGCAAACTTTGTACATGATCCTTGTGGCCCCACCAGCAGGTGCTTATCCTGATTTTCCTAACATTTCTCCTCCCTGGATGGGATCACAGTCCATTGTAAGATCACCCCCAGGACAAGATCACCTCTTGTCCTGCCCAAGAACACAACACATTGACCCAGCCAGGTCTGGAACCCAGACCTCTTGACCCTGAGTCTAGAGTACTTGTATAGTAGTGGTAAACTGCTGAAAAATTCACAAAATATTCATGCTTAGGGGTTCAAATTTGGTGTCTCATTTCCAAAGGCTGACAAGGATCAAAAGGCTTACATAAATCCTGTATGAACTGGCGACAATGAAACAATACAACTAAAGCAAGATCAGTTTGGTATTTGATGAATCTGCCTGTTGAAAATAACTAACCTTGCGCAATGGAACATCATGTTTTACACTAATTTCGTCAATAGGAACATGACCAACTAAAATGGAAATCTTCTCCTTGTCCAGTTTTGGAGAAAGATTATTGATAAAATCTACAGTTTTATTGTAGATTTTTCTTTCCTCTCTAAAAGGTTTTCTTCTTAACAAACTTGCTGAATTGATCTGTAAAAATTCAAAACATACAACATACTTTAAAATAATTTCAAAACTTATATTGATTTTTGCTTTAGTGACCAAGGTTCCATTTCTGCCACTCTCTTGAACAGTGTCTGGTTATCAAACACACAGTTACTCCTGCAATTAAGTGTAAGTAATAATGGGTAACAAAATGACTTTTAATAAATGTTTGAGAAAGTTTTTCTAGATTAATTTATTATGTCTAGTAACTAAACAGACCCAGAGCAATATTTCAAGATACAAATCTAAGGAAGACTGGTTTGGGTTGCCACTCAAAACCAGTCCATTCTGCTTTGTTCCTTGATAATTTCATTCCTTGAACCTCAAAACCTCTAACATCTTGATCTTTATTGAAAACACATCAAACAAAAATAGCTTTCCAGGAGTAGTAAATACTTGGGAGAACTGATCCCTTGACTTTGCAGGTCTAATGTGTACTCCTAAGGACACAGTGCTCCTGGTTTTAACTTTAAGACACATAAAAGGTTTTCTAGCTACTGAGCTACAGCTGCTTAATGTGGCAAGCAATCCAATAATCAACCAATACAATGAACTACCATAGACATAAATTCGTTGGTGACAGCAAGACTAGCACATCACACAGGACATCCCTTCCTATGCCACTGATATACAACAACATTAATCTGTCTCCACTAGTATACCTTAATTATTTGAAAAGACTTCAGTTTCACCACATCATTTATGGGACCAAAGTGTCGTTGAAATCTCAATGTTTTTTGTTCTGTGAGGATATCACTCCATTCACCTCCAATGTCATTGTCCCCAGCAACATAGATCCTTTCAGATCTGTCAAAGGTGTGGAAAATCTTATCATGTCTTGCCTAGAAAAGATATAAAACATTGTTAAAATTAGTAACTATCCATTTTATAATTTTTTAAATCAATCACAAAGGCATCTACAGAGCAAAACTAATAAATTAATACTTGATGAAAAAATTAAGTTGTTTGGGACCATACAAAGAGTGAAGCCCCATTACTCTGCATTGACGAGAGCAATAATACAAACCCTCTCCTTTCCCTCTGCTTTTTTCATACTGGGCTGGGAGGGGAAGATCTCTTTATGGCAAATGAATGGTTCAATTTTGAAGCTGACAAAGCTGTCATATAACTGAATGAGAGGATATACTGCTGGTCTATTACCTTATACTCCTCATATTGCTCATCTGTAGCAATTGATCCTTCATCTAAAATGTCACCTGAGATGTCAAAACTAAATTACCATATATGACTCACACAAGATAAAAAAAAAGTGACATAATAATGAACAATAATAATAATAAATCAGATTTAGAAGTGGGCACCCATGACACAGCTCCTCTTGTGTCTGTTGGCAGATATTCATGCAGAACTGTGTAATATAATCTTCTTTGATAAGGATACCACACAGTCATGTACATTTTATCAATTTTGAAGTTTTTTCATCTAGTTAAAACCAAGGATGGAGGAGTGACTGACCAAGTCAGTGGAAAAAGACAAATTAGCTATCTAAGCATTAATAACTTTAAAGCATACTGAAATATTTGTTTTATGGTATATTTGTTTGTATCCACCATTTTACTGAGATAAGCTTCATCAGGAAAGTCACATGAAACACATATGACACTTACTGGTGTCTACTTAATACAAGTAGTCTTTCTGATAAAGGTTTTCCATATCAATTTGTGTAGTGATAGAAAGCTTGACTGTGAAATTTTCCTCTTTATATGACAACTGCTACAGTACTGGCTCTCTTACAAAATCTTCTCTTATAGGCCTCTTTTTACCTAACATGTAACCTGAGCTATAGTGAAGTCCCACTAAAACAAATGATTGCAAGTATCCTTAGAGAAAAGGAAGGCTTGTAACACTAGTCTTATCAAAGGTCTGCGGTTACACTTATCAGAGGTCTGCAATTACACTCATCAAAGGTCTGAAGTTACACTTGTCAAAGGTCTGCGGTTACACTTATCAGAGGTCTGCAATTACACTTATCAAAGGTCTGCAGTTACACTTATCAAAGGTCTGCAGTTACACTTGTCAAAGGTCTGCAGTTACACTAATCAAAGGTCTGCAATTACACTTATCAAAGGTCTGCATCTGTTGGATACAAGTTGGTTACTAAAAATACATAAAGAAAAAGTCCTGAATTAAGTTGGTGTCTGTTTCATACAAGTCTTACTGTACACTGGGTCACATTCCTTGAGACACCCAAATGTGTAATTAAAAAAACAATACAACCCCACATAGGACTTAAAAAGTAAAAATGAAGAAGGGGTCATGAAACAAACCTAAATGAATAACAGCATCAGGTGAAAACGATGCCAAGGCCAGATAAAAAGCCTTGAATAAATACCAGTCTGTATCCACACGTGTTATACATCCTTGAATTCCTTCAGGTTCTTCCTTGTATCCCTTACAGGAAAAAAAAGGGTCCAAGGAGGAGCTTTGTTAGAGTTAATTTCTACTAAGTATCACAAAACCAAAACCAAGAAATGAAACCCTGCAGCCAATCAGAACAAAGGAAAATCAACTCAAATCAAACACAAACCATTGGCCTGAAACATGGAAAAAATATAAGTGACTGTGACGTTGTTGGTTTTAGTTTTCAAACTAACTGAACTAACTGTTTGGGGGGAAGTAGTGCTATTAGCCATGTCAAGAGAGAAGAAGCCTTTAGTCACTAAATGTAACTGCTCATAAAAAATGCAAGGTTGTGGTTCTGAATAGAAGGACAAAAAAAAAGACTAATTGATTCAAACTTCAGATAATAAAATGATTCAGTGTATGTTCAGCATAGTTGTCTGTTGTTTTTGGTACAGTAGACCTACCGGGATTTGTGAGTCAGAGATGAGAAGTAAATTCAGTGAATCTCTGGATTGGTCAGGAATCCTCCAAGTAAAAAAAGCCCATAGAAAACATCCAAACTCTCCAATAAACACAACAATTACAAGTAAAACCAATGACACCTTGAGGGTAAATATATACCAGTACCACAAACACTTCTTCAACATCAAAACTGAAATGAAAAAGAAAATAGTACTCTTTAACCAGAGTGACTAATACACTTGTTATATCAGTTAATCAATGAATTTATTTATCTAATAATTTGTTATTTTTTAAGTTTTTTTAAATATATTACTTACTCTTATTCTAACGTCATTAGGTTTCTATCAATAGGTTCATTCTACATAATAAATAACAAATAACAAATAAATTCCATGTTACCATGCGTCTATTCAGTAATGGATCACAGATGAGACCAAAATGCACCACAAACAAAAGTGGTACACAAGATGCAGTTGAGTTTGTCTCTGATGTTCTTACCACGTTTTGACGTCATCTGTGATCTATTGCTGTGCAGACCCACGGCAACATGGAAGATATTTGTTTTATATAATACAGGTCTGGAGCAAAAAAAATGTTATTGGTGATGTCATCCATACGTCTGTCCTCCAATAGATCATAAGTTCGAACCAATCAAAATGAACGCGTGATGCAGCACATTGTATAAATATATGTACAACATGTCGTGATCTCCCAAATTTTGATTGTGCTTCACCTGCTTACTCAGGTGTTATCGCCTCAATTCTTCTGGTCAAAGTAGACTACACAGGGCACATGCATGATTGTCACTTTCCGAATATTAAACAAGATCAAGCTAGTGTTACCTCATTCAAATAGCTATCTAACCTGCAAGAATCGATCAAACAGTAAGCCCTGGCTGTGCAAATATTCTCAGTGTCGTGACGCAAAATCTTAATCCGCAAATGAGGACGTAATGTGCAGAGATTTCAAATCCTGGAACTAGCATCTTTCCAAGCGTTCTGTTTAAAAAATAAATAGTTCAGAGAATACCTACATCGATTATTCTATAGTAGTATCCAGTACAGCTTCCTTTCTCCAGGGTAGGATTTGCGGTATTTCTGACACAGTCGCCCTCAGAGAACAAACAGATGTGAAGCGATTAGGTTGAGACCGGATGTGAGATCATGTATTTGTCACAAACTGTACCATGTTAGGGCACTGGGTACCATCGGTCTTTGCATGCCGAAAGCCGAACCAGTATTGTCGTTTTCAACGAAAATGGCGGCAATAAACGTTCATAGCACTAGTTGTACTACAGATAATCTTAGTAGACATGACATGCTGAAATGGATCAACGAGAGTCTGCAGCTTAAGTACACCAAAATTGAACAACTATGTTCCGGTTAGTAATCGAGAACATTTGCGGCAGTTTCGTCGACAGAACTTCCATGTTTTCACGCCTTCGATCGAACGAGGGGCTGATGTTCGGGGTTATCAGTCCTTTCTCGTTGTTTCGTTATCGCGTCATACTTGGCTCTCACTAACTTGTGTTTGCTTAATAGGTGCTGCATATTGCCAGTTTATGGATATGTTGTTCATGGGTGAGTACATTATGAAGATTACGTATGAAATTCGAGTCCTTTAACAAACGCCTCTTTAAACTTTTTACATGTGAAGTTAATATCATGAAATATACATAACTCCCCTCAGTGATGTTCGATTTTAAACTCACATCAATCGGTATTTTAATTGAATGTACTTTAGATTGTGTAAATATGGCAAAGGTGAAGTTTGCATCAAATCAAGAACACGAATTCATAAATAACTGGAAGATATTGCAAAAGGCGTTTAAGAATGCTGGAGTTGATAAGGTAAAGTTTATACTTCCTTTTTTTCTTTTTTTGAATTCTTTATTACAGCATGATGTTAATTTATTTCACGCTTATTTTCGACATGTATCTCGTGCTGTAGAGCATTTAAACAGAATCATGAATTAATCTAAAAGTAAAACGAAAGGTGCTGTAAATTGTGCTATTGGCGTGCTGGTGTCGAAATTTTTGTGGTGACATCATCATACTAATTATTTTTTTTTGTAAATGTCTCCATCAACAATGAAATCTTTGAAAAGGTAATGGAGTATCAAGGTGTTTCATGATATGCAAAGTTTTATTTTCCAGAAAGATCATTTACTTTTGATTCTGGATCATGTGACCTAGCAATGGTTTGAGAATGTTTGTGAACGGTAGTGCTCTCTTTAACTGAATGCCGCACTTGTAAAACCAGCTAAGAAGAAAGAGGCCAGTGTGAATCAGCAAGATATTTAGCTTTGATTTTATATGTTATTGGTTAAGACAGAAGACTGAGTTTTAAGACCAGTCAATGAACACAGAAAATCAAAACCCAAAATAATCCTGAATTACTTTGGAACTGAGTTTGAATGACTCACACTTTTTAATTTTTGGTCTCAAAATTTTTTTAATTGAGTGAGAATTACTACTTCCTAACTAATGATTATAAAAAAAATTATTTTCATTGGGGCTGAAAATGTACGAACAATTATTTTTCACCAGTAAGTGCTTGTCAGGTGCCATTATTATTACTATTATTATCATTATTATTGTCATCATTATTATTGCTATTATCATCTTTTTTCCTTTTATGAAGATCAGGATTTCAAGGCATTGAAACAAAGATAATATATATTTATATATTCATATCATATTTTTTAGCAATGCAGTATGTAGATTGGAGTTGGATTTTAATAAACAAAATCAATTGGCTTACCGGTAATATTTATAAATTAAATAAATAGGAACATCATTAACAAATATAAAAGCCAAATGGATGTTGACTTGAAAGGCACATCATATGATTGCAAATAATGCAAACTGTGAAATCTCAACATGTTTTCTCAGCAGTTGAGGTTCAATTGAAATACTAAACCACTTTGACTTTGGTTTTTCTTTTATTTCCTTATTCAGACGATCCCAATTGAAAAGTTAGTCAAAGGGAAGTTTCAAGATAACTTTGAGTTTGTTCAGTGGTTCAAGAGGTTTTTTGATGCAAACTATATCGGGCCTGATCCTGATTATGATCCTGTAGAAGCACGACATGGAAAAACAGATACTCCACAGATTGCTCAGCCACGAAAAGGGTCAGGACAGCTTACCAGACCTGTGCAACCCCCAGGTGAGGAAAATTCCTTTTCCATTCAGGTAGACCTACTGAGTATGCAATGTTACCAATTTCATACACCTTGCATTTTTCCACTCAATTACCTCAGCCTCAAGATTGTGACTTTTAAGTCATTATAATGTATTATCTTGGTTGTGATTCTTGTGTCACTCATTAGAACCAAACCTTACTGAGAGTAAAATCTCTTTTTTTTCATTCTCAATCTCTAAACAGCCAAAAATCCGGCTCTCTCCAAAGGAAATTTTAGTAAACCTACAGCAGGTGGTCCAGCCAGAAATGGTGGAGCTTCTAGAGGTGGTGCATCAGGACTTGGACGTCCAGCAGCACAAAGTTCGCGCACTGTAGGAGGGGCAGCACAGGGACCCCGTACTGGAGGAGCAGCTGGGGGGTCATCTGCTGCAATTGCACAGAAAGATGCTCAAATACAGGAACTTAATAATGAGGTTTGTTTTTGATGCTTGGTAAATGAATGAAAATCATGGATGAAAATTGTTGCCAATAATTGATACAAACTCCTTAATGAATATGAGAATGAATTAGTTACTATTCGAAACTTAAGCTCATCATCTAGCACTATGTTTGGCAGAAGCATCCCTTTTGCTGGATATTAAAACTATGTTGGTTAATACCAACAATTGTCAATCAAAAGCAGTCAAGGTATTCTTTGATTGTTTAGTTGAGTCTGCTCTTATAGATATGCTCTCATGTTGATTGGTAAACTGAGCAACAGTCTAATGGAAATCAGTTAAACTCAGTATGGACATGTTTATTTTTGCTCAGTTAGATAAGAAGGATCAAACTGTGGGTGTATGTTGTAAGTCCACAAGTCAGGAAGTGTCTAACATGTGTTCTTGTGCTTGGTCTCCAGCTCACTGCACTGCAACTGACAGTGGAAGGATTAGAAAAAGAAAGAGATTTCTACTTTGGCAAGTTACGAGATATTGAAGTCAAATGCCAGGAAGAAGATCCAGGCGCTAATGTTGTCCAGAAGGTCTTGGAAATTCTTTATGCAACTGAGGTAGGTGCAGCATTTTGGCCTCACAAAAGCCTTAGCAAGATAATGGAACTTACAAATTGGATCTCAATCAAATGGAATCTACAAAGCACATTTCAATAGATTTTCTGTAATCAGGAATTCTGTTCTCTCACATACCTTGGAAGTTACATTTCATCTTAACTCATTCTTGTTAAGGAAGGCATTGTTGCATTTGAGTGGATACATTCTCAAACAGAAGGGAACAAGTTAATGTTACTAATCTTAACCTGTTTCATGCATTTATTTGTAAACACAGCATGATAATGGGAGCAAAGAAGAAAGTTTTAAGCAGTGAAATTACATTAAGGAAGGGATGCTTATGGCTGTAGATTTCACCCATACCCTGCTCCTTCTGTCACTCTGCCACAAGTATCACTGTGTTCATGAACTAAACACTTAGAAATGGGCAAACTACTCTTCAGAAACAGATTTAATGGACAGCTTGCTTCATTTACACAATCACCGCCAAAGCCAAAATATCATGTTTCTGAATTTGACCCCTAAGAGGTTTCTGTCAAATCAAGGAACTTTTCTTCACTTAATGTCCATCTGTGAGAATTGTTCAAGGAACTAGTATAATGTATGACTTGATATATGTTGGGTTCCAATTACTGAGGGAACTATGAATTGTTTTTATTGGTAGGAGGGTTTTGCTGCACCAGAGGAAGGTGGTAACAATGAAGAATATGAATATAATGATGAACAAGAAGAGTACTAGACAGAAGAGACGTATGCAGGATCAGTTGTCATCAGCAGACTTGCCATCAACCATATTTTTTAAAAATTAAAACTGTTTCTTGAGATAACATGCTAGGAGATAAAGGGAACTTCTTCTGTTATCTAAACTGAGAGTACTGATCTCAAGTTTGCACCACTGGCTATTTTGTATTATAATAATTATTATCAAAGATTTTTCCATGTAAACTGAAGGCTAGCTAAAATGTAGGTGTGTTGAAACCCAGTTTCTGTGATAGAGAGGTAATGAAGGTTTTCTCTTCTTTTGACGTGTGAAAACAACTTGTTTAGTGAAAGATGTCGCAGCTTTGTGCTCTAAAAGATTTTTTAAGTTTTACTTCCTGCCAAAGACATCAGGTGATTCCTAAGCTACCAAGGATAATTTTTCCCTGCTTAACCCTTTCATACTTGGAGAGACCAAATATATGTTTCTCCTTACAATATTCATAAATTTCCAAGCAGAAAGGTGATGAGAAATTTTAAAAAATCAACAACAGTACATTGTATGATTGAACAAAAAGTTCTCTGAACTACACTTATCAGAAATGTCTGAAAGAGTGCAGACAATTGATATTAAGAACCTGGGAGTGAAAAGATTAAGCAGTTGATGGGAAAACAAAAATAAAAGAACTGTCTCCTAAATTGGTGTTGAAATTGTTAGGAACTTAATGAAAACAAACTTGGAATTAAAGAATGTGCTACATATACTTCACTCAGATTTGTGTCTGGTTAAAGTTAATCCTTCTTGGTGATCTTCATATTCAACCTCCTTGCATTAAAATGTCTTCTGCAGAAAATTATAGAGTGGTAAATGGTCTGCTGTGAATGGTTTGTTGATTCTACAATTCACCAGGTGATCCTTGTAGTATTTCTCTCTTTTAAACTAGATTTAATTTGTTTAAGATATTTGATGTCATTCTTTGTGTGCCTTGGCTGGCAATTTATTTTCCAGTGAACATTCACAGCATCTGAAACTCTTGTTCATGTGATTTAGTGATGTGAGGCATATTAATAGATCTGCACCCAATACTCATGGGAACATTAAGCACTAAAAAAATACAAGAGTTGAGATGAGTACTATCAACAAGCATCAAAGATAAAAACCTCCTTCAATTGTCAGAAAAAGTATTAGGAATTTGGCTGTGTCTCAAAGTCTTGTGAAATTGCCAATGAAGAAGGGCTAATGTTGGAAACATCAGCTTTAAAGACTCTTTTCTGTGGCTAATTCACATTATGAATTCAGTTAATAAAACCAAATTATCTGTAATAACCCCCCCTCCCCTCAACTGAGACAGTAACACAGCTCTATTAGAAACTCATCCTCTTTAAAAGGCAAACCAGTGAAATGGTGTGAACAACCTACCTCAGAGTTCTATGCTCAACCACTCTCTGAACTTACCCTCCACAAGTCCACTCAGTGATTTAACCAGAGAAACTAGCAAACCATTTCATTGTCATGCACAATTCTCAGCTGTGCCCATCTTTTGCATGCAGATGTCGTCACCATTATTTGTGCAAAAGTTGACTATAGCAAGGTATGTTAATGAAACTGGGGAATTGCTCATGCCTCTATATCATCACCTAGGATGTTTTAATTTGTTATGATAAAGCCTTAATAACTATCTGATCAACAGACAAACTTTTACTGAATGATAAAGCTTGTCTTGCTACCTTGAATGAAAAGCACACACCTGTTACACTGATACTCGTGGACCTACAATGGTTCCTGGTTATCTTCAGGATTATTTTACAGATTTTGTTACTGAGTATGTGGCTCTTGATGGACTAACACCACACTACATCAGAGATTTAATTTAATACTATTTAACTTGGTCAGTGAGTTAAGATCTCCCAACAACCACTTGCTCTATGGGCCTGTAGCTAAGCTTTAAAGTTAACATAGAATGGCATTTTTAGGAGCAGAACCAAGTTCATGGAAAAAGATTACAGGTTGGGCAATCATTATGGAAAGCAGTATTTAAAACTATTTTTTAAACTTATCTGTTTAAGGATGCATTATATTTATAATTTCCCCATTTTTATTTTTTGTAATTTACTTATATCATTCTATCCTGTTAATTAACTTTTATTGTAAAGCACCAAAGACAACACTCCACCACACACTATATCATAATTAGAATTATTTTATTAAATAATATTAAGTTCTCAGATTGATCAGTAAATCAGAAATTCTGGTAATAATAGATTTATTCCCACTCAATGTCAATTGATAACTTGTCAATAAAATATATTAACTATTGAAAATAAATGATCTATTAGTTTGTATTCATGAAGCCCTACTATCGTATTTCTAAGAACTATAAATTGTGTCTATAAATGTCATTACATCTGTAATGAAAATAATATTTTTGTGATTCAAGATAATGTCTTTTACATTTCCACAGAAATTTTCATCCTTAGTAATTTTTCCAATATTAAGTAATAGAGCAGCTCTAACCTTTTGTAATACCAAGTTAAGTTTCTTTTTTAGTATTGTACCTGGTTATCAGACAAGTCCCACCAAAAGGTTCCTAATAAAAATAAGCTTAACACCCCTGTCTAAGAGATTCCACACTTTCAAAGAACAAGACAATTTGCATCTATCCACTATTAGTTACTACTTGCTATAACTTATTCTTTTTGAGTTTTGAATCCCTCTGGGTTCTGTGATTGCCATCTCCACGAATCTTCACCTAAAAACACAATTTCCATTGATTAGTACCAAAAGCAATTCACTGAAAAATATAACCAATTGAATTTACTACACAATTTACACTCTCTCAAGACTTACTGTAGTCCAAAACCCATGGAGGAGTGTCTATTAACAAAAGTACTGGTACTTATTCATTTCATACACATGTAACTGTTTTGAAAACTGGATAATCCACAGATTCATGTTTATGCTTTTTAAGGAAATCCTGATTGTATCCCTAACCCTTGCAAAACATGGGTTTGTGTAGTTACTACTAGCCCTTCCCTATTAAAGAAAACAAAAAGAAAACAAAACAAAAAACAGTACTTACACATTTCATCTAATCCTCGTGCTGCTGTCCAGCCAAGCTCTTTCTTTGCTAATGAAGCATCAGAATACACAGCATCCACATCTCCTTCACGACGTGGAGCAATTTTGTATGGAACCTACAAAATTGGTGGAGATCATTTTTTTGCCAACTGTAACCATTAATTGGCTTTATTAACCTTTCCACTCACGGCAAATCCCTGACAGAGGGGAGGCTATCAGAGAGGGAAGGGCTCATTACAAACTGGAAGTTCTACATGGGAGGGGAGGGGGTCTTCTTCAAGAGTAATAACGAAAAAAGCGAATAAAGAAGTGTGAAACTGTGTGTGAAAAGAGGCATTAGAACACATATGCTATATTTCTATAAGAAGGAATAGGCAATTAGGAGACAATGTCTCCACCACATCTTGCAACACAGGAAAAGCTCATTGTCTAGACACCAACAGCTTCATATTTCAGAACAACAAAAATTGGCTTAATATAAGTAATCATACCATTTTAGAGTAAGATCAGAGACCAAGAAGTAAGAGAAAAAGTCACAAAGAAACTTGACAAAGGAACAAACATTAACAAACAACAGTAGTGACACTAACTGGTTTTCCAGAGGCTTTTTCAACAGCTTTCACCATTTCAAGAACAGAGTATCCTCTTCCTGTGCCAAGGTTGTAGATCTAGAAAAAAAGGCTTTTTTTTTAAGATTGAAACCTTGGACTTGTCGTCTTAAGAACAATTTATAACTTGTTTCCTATGGGTCTGCTGGGAAGCTTAACTTTACCTGGCAACCACACTTGTTTTCAAATTGCTTCAGTGCAATGACATGTCCAACAGCTAAGTCAACCACATGAATATAATCCCGCACACCTACAAGAAAAAAAAAGTACTTCGGGGTTATAGACTGAAAAGTGCAGGATGACTTAAAAAAAGAAAAAAAAGACAGTAACAAGCCCTGCATGCCTTCACTTCTCTTAACAATCCATTAAAATGAGTTTTAATAATACTTGGACAACAGCCCTACTTTACGTGCCGCTAACTAAAAAAAAATAACCTGAATGGAGAATACACTACCTGTCCCATCAATAGTGTTGTAATCATCACCAAACACATTAAGATGAGATCTTTTGCCCACAGCAACTTGAAGTATATATGGCATGAGATTATTGGGAATACCCTGAAATATATACACAAATCAGTCAAGTTTTGGTAAATCCAGAAAAAGCCCTTTTCTCACTTTCTTATACTTTTCTATTGTCTCAGTCTTGCCCTCTGATTGGTAACCCCTTAGAGTGGCTATCATTTATTTCTCTTTATAGTAACACAGCTGAGTCATTCATTAAGATAATGAGAATAAAGGGAATGATCATCAACTGAAGAAACTCTTGATTATATTAAAGTTCACACGGCAACCAGGTGGACAATAAGACATAGTTTGATGCTACTCTGGTTTGTAGATTTAATGAATGTAACTGAAGAAGTTACAATTCATAGACCCAATGTTTCGACACTCCTGTCTAGTGTCTTCATCAGGGGGTGATCTAAATGCTGCAACAAGAGGTCCTTTTATATGATCACTAATTAGCGGCCTTTTTTCTGACGAGGTGTAAATAGGCATCAGGAAGCAAACTGCCATCGTCACAATTTAAAGGAGTGTGGGCGGAGTTAATATGCCAAGCCTCCAAACAAAGGCACTGGTGGTAACGCCGATTAGTGGTGATAATTTTAGAATTATCCCACCCAATTGTATGGTTGGTTAGGCATGTATGCTCCGTTAAAGCTGAATTTTCCTTTTTGCAAAGAAAAACCGCTTTTTGGTGCTCTTTTAACCATGTACCAAACTGACGTTTGGTCTGTCTGATGTATTCGTTCTCACAGTAATTGCAAGGAATAGAATAAATGGCGTCGGTTCATTGTTCTTTCGTGACAGGATCCTTAGGTTTGGCAAAAATATGCCCCAAAGTCTGAAAAGGTTTTTGAGCAACTTTCATGTTGTGGCTATTCAAAATTCTCTTGATGGGTTCCGTAACACCCTGTATGTAAGGAACAACAGCAAAACCAGTCGCTGGTTCCCTTTCGTCAAGAGTGTTACTATTTGTAACTGGTTTTTGGCAGTTACGGAGAAAAGTTTTTGTATAGCCATTTGCCTTTAGGACATTGGAAACATATTTCCTCTCCTCAGCCTTCAAATCGAGTGAAGATGGTAGACAGTCAGCCCTCCTAAGTAAAGTTTTGGCTACAGACTTTTTATGGCAAATAGGGTGGTGAGAATCAAAAGCAAGGTATTTGTCAGTGAGGGTAGGTTTACGGTAGACACTTGTCTCTAAATTACCCTGAACCCCTCTGGACACATTTAAATCAAGAAAGGGCAAATGTCTATCCTTTTCGCGCTCAAGGGTGAATTGGATCGACAGCTCTACTGAATTCAAATGCAACAAGAGGCGCTCCACTTCATTTCCGGATACCACCAGCACCTTTGTTTGGAGGCTTGGCATATTAACTCCGCCCACGCTCCTTTAAATCGTGACAATGGCGGTTTGCTTCCTGACGCCTATTTGCTAATTAGTGATCATATAAAAGGACCTCTTGTTGTAGCGTTTAGATCACCCCTGATGAAGGCACTAGACAGGAGTGTCGAAACATTGGGTCTATGAATTGTAACTTCTTCAGTTACATTCATTAAATCTGCAAACCAGAGTAGCATCAAACTATGTCTCAAACTCTTGATTGTTAAACAAATTCTCCTCATACTAATGTTAGGGTGTGAAGGTTTAACAGCCTGGGCAGCCCTGATTTTAGTCCATGAACTACATACAACCCAGTATGACTAAATAATCAACTATGTCTGGAGACTGAAAAATGTAATTTAACAATTTTTAACCTTGAATGAGAAAAACTGTAATGCTTAAATGTTCAGGGAAACATTTGCAATACAAGCACTTAACCATTTTATCACTATGGCAAGTGTTACTAACTGACCTGAGGATCTTCACCAATTTTTCCTGACTTGTGAGCTCCAACAGGATTAAAGTACCTCAGCAGTACAGCATTCATTTTCTAAGGAAAAAAGGTGTTACATGTAGCCTAAAACTTAATTCTTATTTATAAATTCTGTGTGACAACACCTATTCTGTGAGTATGATATTTATATCTTGTACACCAAAGCATCTTAGAAATCAAGGGTACATGGTGGACAAATAACACTGCCTCATATGACAGTTAATTGAAGCAATAATATTGTTACCTCTTCAGCTTTGCATAGATCCTTAATAATTTCTTCGATAAAGAACTTGGATCGTCCATAAGGGTTTGTTATTCCATTACCCACTGGGTGTTCTTCACTGATAGGGAGACAATTTGGAACACCATAGACTGTAGCAGAGGAAGAAAATACAAAATTCCAAACCCCATGTTCCTTCATACACTGAGAACAAAGAAAAAAAAGTAAAATCACTAAAGAAACTTATGATGTATGGAGTTAAACCACAAGATATCAATAATTTGCTATAATGCTAGGAAACTTGACCTAGGGATTTATTAAAAATATTGTATTGTGGTATACAACAACAAGAACAAATTAATTGTGAACCCTAATCAGTAATAACACTACAAACCTCCAATAGATTTATAGAACCAGTGATGTTATTGTTATAATATTGTAGAGGAATTTGTACTGATTCACCAACTGCCTTCAAAGCTGCCAGGTGAACCACAGCGTAAAAATTGTGCTGAAAACAAAAAGTCTGATGTGAGAAAGTTTTGTCAAATACAGTACTGTCATTTAGAGAATTTCCAATTTTTATTAACTTTCTCAGTGTTATCCATTTAAATTTATTTACAACATAAAACATGATATTCCTATAGAAAATATTGGTGTCGCTTTCAAAGATTAGAAAATACATTTTAAAAATTGTTTTTGTGGTTCTCTCACTGGTCTTTGTACCCAGAGAAATTCATTCACTTATATGGCATAGTGTGATAAAAAAAATGCTACATGATTGAAAAAAAACAAAATAGTGTAATAGCACGAGGGGAGATAATTTCCTAAACTAGTAGCAAGAGAGTAACAGTCAAGCTATGAAATGACTCTTACTAACAGTATTAAGTCTTCCAATCTATTTCATTTCTCATTCACCAGTGCATATTGCCATCAAGATCAAAATTGAATTCAGTTTAAAATAATTTCAGTAACGGTTGATTTGGATAATTCTTTTTTTTTTTAATTCATTTTAGACAACAACAAATACCTTGGTTTGATGTTACAAAAAAAACCAATGACATCTTACTTTTCTGAATATGTCTTTCAAGGCATCTTTGTTAAGTAAATCAACAGAATAAAATTTAAGCTCCTTTCCTGTTATTTCCTCAACTCTTTTCATGCTCTCTATCAAAAAAAAAGTTTAAATCTCAGTTAACTTTACATTAATTGAAAATTGCTCAATGAAATGTTGGTGTTCAGTACATTCTTGTGCATACCATGCATACCAATTCATGTTATGCACAAGCCTGCCATAGGCAAAGACCACCTCAATACCAAATGATGTAGAGAATTGCTTAGTGCTTCTAAACAAAAATAAGATACTCCCGTTGGCTTTGTATGAAATTTTTATACAGATTTCAGTCAATCCTTATGATTAATAATAATGGCCAATTTTTGTTTAGTGTCAAGATCAAAGCAGTTTTAAGGTATGCCCAAGTGTGGATATTTTTACATCTTCTAGAAAATTAATACATTTTTGGACTTCTTTGTTACTTCTAAACAAACATTTGAAACTGTTCAGACTTTTAACGAGTCTTTCAATTGTCTGAAAATTTCTGACTGTCTAGTATTTGTTCCATTTAAGATCATGCCTAACTGTGGGGAACTAAACCACAGTGAATACCATACCAGCGTGTCTCTTTGCTGATTGTAGACAGGCTCATAAAAAGCAACATTTGACCTAAACTGATTAGTGTTGCTACAACCCAAAAAGCCCTCCAAATCATTACCACATTACTACATTACCAGCACCATAGAGAAAGACTTACTCACCACTAAAAGCATTTACAAAGTTGTCGATAACGACAACCTCGTATCCAGCGTTAACAAGCTCTACAACCGTATGTGTACCAACATATCCTGCTCCACCAGTGACAAGAATACATCTTCCAATCATATTTCTATTGCTTGCAATCCTTAATGCCTACAGAATGAAAATTACAACTTAATAAAAAATTGCTAGGAGCAGTGCTTATTTTGTCTTCTTATCATTTCATGATATCATGTGATCATCTTATGACAAACCCTCCTAACAAATTTACCCACGTCAGTTGACACCAATAAACTAGCAAGTCATATGCGGTGTTTTAAGGCGCTTTCTTTTTTAAACGCTGGTATACTAATTATAAAACCAAAAGTTATGTAATTCAACGTGGCATTTATGGTAATAAAATAAAAGATTTATATATTAGATGAGCGGAAGCGCAGATTGACTCGATTACTCATAATTATTCCTTTCAGATTAAAACTCGTGGCACATTCTTAACACTCCATACTTCTTTCATAAATAAAAAAAAGCTTTCAAGAGACTTACCAACTCTTAAATTAATGCCTGCAAGGTAAACTTAGCGCACGAGGTGTTAGCGAACTGTTTGATTAATCTTTCTAGCGAACGGATGGCCTAGCAACCAGGCCTTTAGTACTTGCAGTGTGCTGCTTATATACACAGTTTCCTTAGCAACCTAACCCCCCTTTAATTCATTTGCTATTATAGGGAGAGGTAGCTGCTGAGAACCGTGGCCGATAGAGGCAAAGTTGGGCGAGACTTCAAAATTTGAGTGAGGACGTGTAGAGAACGACTTCAAGACGTGGCTTTGCGAGACAACTATATATCTGCGATTTACTTATAAGGCCTTTTAGTATTTCTAATCTTTAAAAAAAAAAATTGAAAACGTCAAAATTAGGTTGTAACAGGGTAAAAATGGAAAGGGGAAGAAGGAATTTGAAGGAAACAGACTCAAGCCCTTTCTTTAGACTCTGTAAAGGTCAAAAGATGATGCGTGTGATGCCATTCTACAATGGAGTACAACCAGGAGGTGGGAGGTCTTCTCTCAGTTTAGAATTAGTCACTCTACACCGTTTAAGTTAACTGAACTTTCTGATCCATCAGGAGGTGATCACTTGATGATCAACAGGAATTGCATAAAATAAAGTCTATCAAATTTTTTACTCCCTTCCTTGTGATACATAAAAAAACAAAAACAAAAACAAAAAGAAACCCAGAATATTGCATCAGTCTCTAATAACTCATTCAAAATCCAAGCAAGCTGATCAACAGTATTGATATCTTTCTGAACTGATCTCTTTATTTGACATACAACTCAATAATTGCATACAATGTACTTTAAATAACTGTCTAATGACACATCTCCCAAAATAACTCAACTAAAGGCAACGAATTGGCAAAAACTTAAGTCTTGTTGGATGTGGAATGTAAGATAAAAAGCCACAGCGAACTATCCTTCATGCAACAATTTTACTTTTTCTTTTACATCAATGTAGTCATCAAATTTAGCTGCACATGTTATCTACAATATTTTCTGAGCCCTGATAACAGTTTACAGTTTAGTTATGACCCACACTTAAATGAACTTAATGGGTTCCGCTGTCTAATAATATAAATAAATAATGATTTACAATGGCAACCCAGCCAAGTCCATGTCAACATAACAACACAAATCCTTTCAAACTGACAGTCAATGCTTCATATTAATGAAAACACAGTCACGTGTCATTGCCATTTCTACACAAAAACAGTCTTTTGGCCAGACTCCACAGTAGAGCTCATAACCAAGTGGGGTTCATAAGTAAAGATAAAAATTTTAAGATGGGTGGTGTTGATCCTTCAACTGACTCTGTCTGAATTCTAATTCTCTCTTCTTGCTGCCAACTCTTGTGAATAACTTAAAGTTAGGAGAATTGGCAATATCAATGAAAAATAACCTATGGCTGATAAACCCAACTATTCTCATCACTTTCTAGATGAGTTATATTTTTACATTACAAAGAGAAGTTATAAATTAACCAGTTAGACCAAAGCCCATCCATGCAACCAGATTAAAAGAGCTGAGGACTCTGACTGTAACATCAAAGACCACTAATATAAGTTGAGAAATAATAGTCAAGTGTGGATTCAAAATAGGAAAAAAAATTAAAAACCAAAATAAAAAAGAGGCAAATGTGGTGAACCGTTCTGATAATGCCAAAATTATACTTTTTCCAAAGCCTTAGAGACAGATAACTCAACTTTTTTATACATATTGAACATACAAAGTTGAGTTTCAATACATATATAAATTACTATTTCAGAAGTTCACCACTGAGAAAATACAACAAATTCTGATGTGAAAAATTCATACCATAAAAATTGGTCATATATATAAATTATTTTTCAAGACCCTGGAGACTCTGTCTCCATTGACTTTTTCTGTAGAGAAAGCATCAATTGGAGAAAACGAATTATGCTATTAAGCCGTTCAAGTATAGAAGTCATCCCTAAAATAATAAGTTTGGGTTTATCCTGAAGTGGTAGTGCCGCAAGTACCCACCACATCCAATCTGGTCCATTGTTGCACAGCTGAATATCCTCTCTTAAGGCTGGGATGGGTCCAATAGCATTCATGATGCACTGTTGCTGCCTAGATGTCATTTGACTGAACCAAGTCTGTAATGTGTTGTGGCCAGTTCTGTTTAGTTCATGGAGTTGTCTGATCTCATCTGCATCCTCAACCTGTTCATCCTTTAGCCATTCAACAGTTGCTGTATGGTAACCATCCAACATACCCCTTGACACAACATGGAAACGCTCTCCCCCTTCTGTATCCACAATTGAACGACCATCAGGAAGAAAATTCACTGACTTGATATTGAGCATAGTACCATAATCTGCAAAATTCTTGTTTGAGTCATCACTTGGGACACACATGCCAAATTGCTTTGAGCCTGAACTGACACAACGCCGTAACATCAGGCGATACCGTGGCTCAAATATGTGCAAAGGACATGGAACTTTTGGAACAGCTAGGGTGCAGACAAAAATAGGGACTTGTGCATGGCCATCTTTTCCCACACTGAAGAGGAGGGAAAAGACATGTATTAAGTTCTAAGTGGTTGGTTCAACACTTTAATCACCAACTAGAATTCAATAACTGATGCCACACTAATAAGTGAGCTTTTCTATAAAAAGAAACAATTTCAAGGCTGAAGGTACCATTAACCCCTCTGGTGGAAGCTATATTGAAAGACAAACAAAGTGCTGCATAAAGGTAAGAGAAATAAAGCAAAATTTCCCCACAGCCAGTTCAACTTTGACTTTAATCAGGGATTAAGTTGTTAATGTCATAGTTTTGATTGAGTAGGAAAAAAAGCAATTACAATAAAAGCCATGTCTAAATTATGACTTATGCCTCATATATTCTACCAGGAGAGTGAGTTGGTTTGTTATGTTCAAGTGCACTAAGAGGAGCCTAAATAGAAAATTGGCATCACGAAGAGAGAAATCAGGTTATGTGTCAGTGAAGATGACCTAAATTTAAACAGAATCAAGTAAACAGCCAAACAAAAAAGAAGAAATAAACAAAATTGAAGCCAATACAGAGGGGAAAAAGACATTTCAATACTACCAAGCAGACGGTTCATGAATGTATGCCTTGCAGACCTATTTTAAAGATGGCTACCTTACGTCCCGAAAAAATCAATTAGAAATGTTCAGTTTTATTAGGCCAGAATGTTCTTACATATGTATATACCATTCCCAAAACTGGTTAATTGTACAAAATAGGAATCGTCGATTTCGCCTCTTTAAATGTCAGGTTTTTCCTTTACTTTTTCGCAACACACGTGAAAGTCGGCTAATTACATAACGATCTTTCAATTATATAACAATTTTTCTTTCTTTTCCCCCAAGACTGTCGACCATGAAAGACTTGCAACTCTAAGGGATGGAAATGTTTCTCTCTAAAAATAATGTGGTTCCTATCAATCGTCTCACCAGAAAGGCGATTTTACGACTCGAAAGTAAAGTAAAGTTTACTTCCAGGAAGATTCACTGACGCAACAAACTATTATGTAATCGTTATGTCATCTTCATTCTAAAATTGTTACCCACCTCGCTAGTTTCTCGATGCTTTCTTGATAATTTCTCTTCCTTTCGTTATAATATGCCGTGAAATAGTTGACCAAAATCAACTCCAGTACTTCAGTGACTTCCATGTTTGGTACTCCTCGGTCGTATTGATCAAGAACCGTCCGACAACATGGACATTCGACGCGATGGTCAAGGCATCGCTCCAGACATTCTCGACAAAAAGTGTGTCCACATATTGTAGTTATCGGTTGAAATAACAAATTAAAGCAAAGTTTGCATTCAAAGTCATCTAAATCTTTCAATTTATCCTCGTATGTTACTCCTGCTGTACAGTTTTCGCCCTTAGATTTTTTGTTTTGTTGTCTTTCGAAGTTACTGGGAGCTTCCTCGCTGTTTGAAAAGGACCGAGATCTTTGCCTTCTCCGTTTGAACATACTTCCAGACTGACTGCTCGAACGTTTTGAAAAAGTATTTTCGCCAGAGTTATTTTCACTATTAACTTCTCCACTAAATGATCTTTCACCACCATGGGCAAGGGTATTGAAGTGCTTCCCTAAACTTCCATTGAGTGCTTTTTCCTGCGGTGTCGCAACAAGTTTAGTACCCGCAGCTCTGAGTACCAGCAAAGTCCTATTCGAGTTTGTGAATTTTGGGCTCAACAATTGATGCAAGCTCTCTGTGAACTCCCGACGGTATCGCTCGCATCCAGGCGCTAGAGCAGAGCAGCGCAACAAAGCTAACACACTCTCTTCGTGCTTGGATGAAAGAACTCCTTCGTGTTTAGCACAGTTCGCTAACACAGCAGCTTTCCTGTAGACAGTTCTTGCTGAAGTAGGGCGAAGTTTACATGCTTGCTCGATGTCTTGAAGCGCCAACTCAAATTGTTCAGTTTGGAGAAGTGCATCAGAACGCCAGCACAAACAGTGAAAATCATTAGCAGATACCGACAGGATCTTGGTAAAACAATCAACAGCTGATTTCGCGTCGTTCTCAGAGAGATGTTTATGTCCGACAAGTTTATCCACTTGATTCTGAAACTCCGAGGGAAACCATTTCTGAATGGAGTTCGTGATTAGTAAATTCACTGAGTGTTTCATATCTTCCGACTCAAACTTTCCGCATTTCGTACACTCCACTCGACCGGTGAACGAACGCTCCTCAATGAGGCAACTTTGACAAAATGTATGACCGCAGGAGAGGGTAACTGGCTTCAGAAAAAGGCACTGACAAAGAGAGCAAATTAAAATATTTCCGCTGCTGTTTACCACTGGAGAACCTTTTCCTTCTTTCTTCTCTTTACATAGTTTGTTTCTTTGAAATTCCAACAGTGCGGTCACCAAAGATTCGATACGTTCCTTTGGTACAACTCCAACACGGAAAGCATTTGAATAAGCACTGAACGACTGATCGAGTTTTCCGTTTCGAGCCAACAATTCTCCCTGTTCCAAAAGAGAATCGAGAGTATTCTTTTTTGCATAACTTTTCTGGTCCCTAGACAAGTTTTCCATGAAAGTTACACTACTTTAAAGACGGCAAA